TTTTTTAAAAAAACAATAACAACAACTGTACTCGTTTGCTTGCGGCAGTATCGTGTGTAAATCTGGTGTTTCCGCCTTTTACCAGAAAACACAACTCAAATTACCCACTTAATCTACACCCAAAGGAATTTAATGCGGCTTTTTCTCGGTAAATTTCTTCTGTTTCTATTGGGTAATTTACGGAACAATTGCACCTGTCATTAATGTTTTATGGACTGGAAAAAGTTAAAACGCTGCCACAACCCAAAGAATACCCGATTACCTTTAGGATGACGTGCAAATTTTGCTCCTAAGTTTCTCTATTTTACCAGGTGTGATGGTCAAATATACTCGTACACGTCCAAAACAAAACGGCTCTTTAATATACTTCCGAACAAAACGAAACGAATTGAAGAATTGAAGCGAAGTAAAAAATAAAAAATGATAAGTTACTACAAGTTTACGTAAATAAACTGACAGATGAAAAACAAAATAAATAACAAAAGACGCTTCCAGGCGTTGTACGAGATCCGGAGACAAATACCAGGCTTCAGACGATATAAAACGATTTAAAGCGATTAAGCTTAAAGTTTTATGAATTTAGGCGAATACTTAAGTGTCTCACTTTGTAACTAGTAACTCTTACGCTTGGAGCAAGAAATTTAGTTTAGGATGGTGGTATCGCGTAATAAAAAGGTAATTCTTATCATCAGTGCTTATGCAGTGTTGCTATGATTTAAAATTTGTCTCATTTGTTCTGAAAGGTAAAATTATAAAAGATTTCAACCCAAGTTTCCACGGTTTACTTGGCCAATGAAAGAAAACTACACAATGATGGATGATTTCTAGGAACATATCATGGAGGCCCAATTGAGCTCAAAAATAACATTTAACACAGTTTATTAGTAACAGTATGAATATCAATGACATGTTGAAAATACAACAGTAACTTTAAAGATTAAAGTTACTTACATTTGTATTTTCAAACATACTTAGGCTTAAACGTAAAGCGAGAAAAAACATGAAAGCGAACTAGTAAATTGGTAGATAAACACGACGATATTATATTAAATATTTTTGTGTCAAAAAATGATAAAAATAAAAAAAAAATAAACATGTAGTTGTTGGCTAGGCACTGATAGACTTGGGGAAACTTTTTTAGCTCTGTCTGATGTGAAGGTTTGGTTTTGTTGGGCTACAATTGTGACTTTATCCGAAGAACTAACAGCAGCGAGAAAGGACACAGAAGTTTCATGTAAACACAATACATTTATTCCAAGTCTGAGAGTTGAGTACAAGAATGACGCGACCAACATACGGGGCCTGGTAACAAACCTGTACCAGGACTTCGCGATAATCATGCATAAATTAGCACTGTTACAACAATCACAATTTCATATCTTGTTAATTTATATTGACCTCTAAGGTGATGTTGCATGATAAACCTTGCCGTTGAACATTATTTTCCTCTGCTGAAGAAGCCCTTGTTAAGGATGTTTAAGCTCCTAAAACAAAGTATCTTAAGCATTTAGAGAGTCGTATATGTATTATTATACTAAGGTTTCAATCAGTCCTCCAGGTTAACCGTAATTATTTATAATCTTAAACGACGTTAGGCAATGTATGCATCATTCAGTAATTGTTTATGAATTGAGCAGACATTTGAGAGTGCAAAATTGCATATCTCTGTAAGTACTAAATCTTGTAATTTTGATATAAACATTGTTCAGACGCGCAGGCAAATGCAAAAAGTTGAATTTGACAAAGGTGTAAATGGATTGTAAATAGTCAAAGAAAATGATGCTCGGCAACAAATTTAAGTACGCCAAGAAAAGATGATAATTATGGTGAGTGATCCGCTCTCGAATTCTAGATAACGGTTTAAGTGAACATTTTTATTATACAGAAGCCAAAAATCATATAACACTGTTGTAACATTTTGAATGTCATGAAACACTGAAGGTTCCCAAATTAGTAAAAGCGTCTGATCCATCCTTCTTAACCTTCACACTTGCTTTCAATTCTAAAGGATAGTTTACTTTTGAAAGGTATTTGTACACAGAGGTTAAAAAGTAAATAGTCTTTGGGAATAATTTCCGCTTGATAGGCAAAGTCCTAGAGAATATCCTTTGATACATAGAGCCTGTTAGTTTAAATTTATAAGTTCGATTTGAACAAATATTTGCCACTTCCAATGCAAATGAAAATGTTCCATAATTCCGTCGCAAGAATAGCAAACAGTTGGAATCCAAGTCTCTCACAATTGTGTCCGAACCAAACATTTTGCGTGGAACGACATTGTCAAACAACACTTCTTTCTCCGTGGCGTCAGCAGCTTCCTCTTTAGCGCATGCACAGAGCTTGATATCCACGGACTTATCTGCACATGAAGCA